AAGTAATCGAATACCTTTGATAGTATTAGAATACTTTTGAAAGTATTCGAATACATTCTAAAGTATGTGAATACTTATTTTTTAAAGTATGTGAATACTTTTCAATGTATCTGTATCTAGTATTCGCTTGTGCTGGACGTAAAAGTAATTAGTATTCAAATACCTTTGATTTGTGTAAAGTATTTACAATTTACTATTTAGTATTCAAATACTTTTTGAAAGTATTCTGCCCAGCTCTGCTCCACGTGGAGTTAATGAATTGATTGGCTTACCGTCGGATTACCTAATTTTTGAGCAACGTGTTTCAAATTTAAATCAAAGAAGCCATTCATTATACGAGACCTAGGATTTTGTATAGACTGCCCTTTGAATCATTCGGATCAATTATTTGGACCAACCTAGTCAATACTTCGGGGTTAGTTAGTTTCCTGTATAGAACAGGTAACCACATCTTTGTATTCAGAATAGCAATAAACCATGTAGACAATTGATACGATTCAATCTCAGACCTTTCAAAAGGTCATAAACATCAACAGCGAGCATCATAAGAAAGAGACTTCTGCGGTGGACCATATGGGTGGCAGAAACCAAAGACTCGAAAAAAAGAAGCACCTCGTTTGACCACTGGTACTAGAAACGATAATTGCACTTTAAAAGTGGTTATCTATAAACTAAATTTTCATGTTTCTCGGAACTGACGTTAATAATTATCTCAACGGAAACAGCATTGTCAATTCGCATGTGGAGCAGCTTGTGTCCCTGTATTGGTCCTCTAAAGTGTCAATTCTATCCGAACAAAAAGAAAAAACTTTAGTGTTGAAAACACTTATATAGGATGCTGGTTTCCAAGTGGCTAGGATGGGGAAGCGAAAGTAGATTTAATATCCGAACGCCACAGTTCGTGAAAGTGAATTACTAGTGGTTTGCGATCGGCTCGGTAGTGGTAAGGTATAAAGCATGTTTATAATTTTGCTGTGTCCGTCCGTCCGTCGGCCCGTTACCACGATATCTCGAAAACGAATGAATCGATTACGATGAAATTTTGCAGATGGATTTTGGAGATCGGAGTTTGTGAATTGGCAATGTAGGCTAAAAAGATAAGGACATCCATTAGCCATGAAACGAATTGCAGGAGGCATAGTTCTAGCCATGTAATACGCAATGCCAGAAGTTGAGTCTAATCGATTCAACATTCACAGTGCCCTTTTGTATCCCGACCATTTATGAACCGAATTGCAAACTCTGTTATTTATGAAGGTATTTAAATAAGACTAAGAATATAAGTAAAACTAACACCAGTTTCAAAATTTGGTTTTGCGCATGCACAGTGCTCACTCTCTTATTTATTAAAGCATTTAAATAAAATTTGATACATAGGTACTTGGAATAAAAGAAAATCTAACGTCAGTTTCCAAATTTGGTTTTAGGCATGCGCAATGGCAACTTTCTTATTCATGAGAGCATTTAAATGAAATTTGATCTATAGTCAGCATAAAAGCAAATCTAATCCCAGTTTCAAAATTTGGTTTTGCGCATGCTCAGGAGCTCGTTTGCTCGTTATTGGTTAATACCAATAATGTCAAGCAAACGTATCCTTCAAGGAGCTCAAGTGTTCGAGTTGCGGGTTGTCGTTACCAGGCAATTTTCAAACATTTAAAAGAGCTCACTTCAAAACGAATTATAGTAATAGAAAATATAGGTATTTACCCGTGAAATGAAAATAGAACTAACGAATTTAAGAGTACCCTACCATTTTGGATGTATTTTCCAATTTGTCCCATTGAAAAACGATGTAATATTTACAAAACTGTGCTTGTACGTTTCCAGCTTGTCTTCCACTTCAATGGAATAATTTCCATATAAATCAGGGATCGCAAATCCAATTGAAAATGGAGTGCCATTAATAGGGGCATAATAGTAATCGTTTACTTCTCTCGACACCCTTCTCATGTTGTCGTAGTGGAACTTGATTTTTAAGTCGTGCAAAACTCCCTTTTCCCCTTTTACCATCGCTGATCTTAATTCTGCCAATTCACTTCCGATCACACGAGGTCCAGCACCGTCGTCCAACTGTTCCACTTCGGTCAAATCGATACTATTATAATTAACGGTTAATTCGCCATCAAACTACAACAGGGATTTTGGATAAACCTAAAGTACTGAAAGAGTCATTATTTGTTACCATTGGACTTAAACCCGGATGTTTCAAGACGTATCCATTGTTACTAACGATAAACGAATGCGAATTGGCTCCAGTCTATAATCTTTATTTAAATATTACTACACGCTAACCGGATAACTCACTTTATAAGGGAACATTAATTTTGCAATGTCTCCAATCGGCACGTCCGTCCCAGCAACACCAAGCAATTCCGCCTTTTTCTTACTTGTATTGTTAACTTTTTTATTAAACGCCGGCCCAGCGACTGATGTCAGCAACCGGTATTGCTCAAAGTTTTCATTGCCCATTGAAAACTAAAAGTTAAAAATTTATAACTTCAGAATTGGAGTACATCCAGCTTACCGTTTCATCCACATATGCATGCGTCCAAGACAGCGGATTCTTCTCCGCTTGTAATACCAAAGGTCGAGCTAACACCATTACGTACTTGTAAACAGCTTGAGTCACTTGCTCTAAAGCATCTACATGGCAATGGTACCCTAAAAAGACATTTGTAGCAATTAAAAAACCGCTTTTTGGTGAAATCAAAATTTGAAAAATATTCGCTCGCTTGAGATACGGGGGAAAATCAAAAAATTGTCAATCTCAGAATGACGCTATATCTTATTTCTTTAAATGTATACTATCTAAAATTCTCTTTTCAAAACATAACACGAAAAAAGTTAAATATTGATTCAAAAAGATTTAAAAGAGCGAAACATTTAAAAAATGCAACAATCTTTTGAAATTTTTTGAATCATTTGAACCTTTTATTAAGCTTTTTAAGTCCCTATGAATCTTTTTTGAATATTTTTAATCATTTGAATATTTTGAATGTATTCTTGGTATGCTAAATTTTTCAAAAGAGAATTTTATATTCTATCTTTATCGATTAAAATATATAGGTATACGGTGGTTTTTTCTACCCTACAAATGTGTGGAACTGACAGGTTCACTTAAGTTTAACAAACAAATTGAAGCGTCAAAATAAAATTTTAATACAAGGTGACTTAGATCGCATTTGTTTTGGTTTTTTTAGAAGAAAATCATTTCAAATGCGAATATTTCCGAAATGAATCAATAGAATTTAAAAAGCAAAGCAGATTAGTAATCATGATTAAATTGGCTTTCAAATAATGTGCCATTTGCCATAGGATTCCATTTAAAATTTTAAGGGTTAAGCTCCCTACGTAGAGGGGTGAAGACTTGGGGTCGTGATTTGTATTCCAAAAGTTGTCCCCCTCAAACACAAAATTGACGTGTTTGAGGATTTTTCGAAATTGCTAAATTTAATACCCTAAAAGCCCTCTGTATACTTCTCGTTGGGCCACTCTGTATACATAGCATATGGTAATATAATATCGTAGTAGCTTTCTAGGTAAGTAATCGGTGAACGGCGGTTAATGATTTTTTTGACCTGATGAGTAAAGCTGAGGCACGAGTTAGGATCAAGATCCAAAGATATGTGATAGGTATTCACAAAGCTATAGGTTGCCACTTTACCGTTTCAAAAACTGGGTTTATAATTTGTTAATCATAGGAAAATTTTCACAGATATCGCTTCATAGGGAACATGAACAAAAGTATGTCTGGCAATAAGAAGCGATGACAAAAACCGTATTGTGGAAAGCAAGCGCGGTTGCCACGATCTCTATATGAACCTGACTTTCGTTCCGTTCTGTTTAAAGCCGAGCACGAGACAAAAATGCAGGTTTAGCCATTAATTGTCATTTTAAAATTTTTTCCAGTGCCGTAGAAGATGCAACTTTATTATATGCAAGTGAGGTCTTCGGCCTTTGTAAATGTAACTAAGCCGTTACAATACCTAACCACAGACAAATTAATTTGTGGTACAATACCTAACTTCCTTAAACTCCGTCAATTACTTTTATTGTAGGTACTAAATAAAAAACAAATTACAATTTTTCAATGAGCGTAAAAATGCTGAAATACAGAATTTGGCTACTATTTATTAATCTACTCTGTAACGGGGGCCTATTAATGTGTTTCTTTGATTCGATTTTTTTAAGATTTATATTTCGTGGTGCCTTTTTCTGACTTTTATCCGTGTAAGGACGAGAAAGAACAACTCTACCGCAGAGGACACTGTGTGTCATAGGAGACAACAAGTAGCCCGCAACCTTAGCGCTGGAATTTGGAGGGGAAATAGGTGTTTGTGGAATGACAACATTTTGACTTCTATATTTTTTACAGATTACGATTTATCATTGCGACAATTTTTAGACGATATAGTAGTGGCCGCGGTAATGGCACAAATTCTGAATTTTTTCCATTGTGTTACGTGGGCGAATGGTCTCGAAATACGACCCTGGATATTGAAAACTTAAGCGCCGGTTAGTCGCGGGATATGGCGCGATTGGTTCAGATTTTGTTTACTTTGTAATAGTAGTTATCGGAATTGATGTCCATAAAAAAAGTAATTTTGTTACAAGACCTCCATTTCCGCAGGGTGGACTTTATTTTGTGCTATTCGAATACGCGTTGAGCCGCGAATCACCTGTAAATTACCATGGGGTGTGTTTTATTTGTAAAAAGAAAATTTGCTCCTACAAGTGAGACAAAGTGCGCTTGCGTTAAGTACGGGCGTAAAGGTTATAAAAGCGCGAATTAAAGTTTTTTGGTGAGCCTCACTTACACAGGATAATTTACGACTTTGAAACTATTACGGTAAATACGAACAATAGCGAAGTTTTAAACATTGTGTGCAGAATTGTTAAATAGAGGAAATTGGTGATGTGATTGTTTTAACTTATTGGATCAACTAGTACTTCCAATTTTTGGGATGAAGGGATATCGCTAGTCGTCTGCACAATTTTGCAAGAAACTAACAGTAATAATTAAAAAAAAATTATAAATAAATACTTACCTCTATTATTACAGGCTATCCACATAGACTCTTCTAGATGTGCCGGTTCTTTCCCTACTAAATAGGTGAAAATTCTTATTGGTATACTGTCGTTTCCTAGTCTATTATATTCCTGGATAATCTCACTTAAGTTGCTCGGAATGCCATCCGATATTAACATAATGGCTTGGTTGCACATACGCTGGTTTGCACTGCAGTTACGAATTTCTCTGTACTGAAAGCAATAAGGCACATCACCATTTCCTGTCTGTTCAAGTTATGGTTATAGCTTACATGTTGCAATAAACCAAACGCACCAACTAAAGCCAAGTCTACGTTAGACTTATTAATTGGTTCCAAATAAGGTAGGGCATCCAAAATGACTTTAATATTTTCTTCAGTAGCTTGAACGAGTTTACCTCCAAAGCAGGGTATTAAATAGTCAACCGTTTCGGAATAATTCATTACGTTTATATAATCGTTATTTGAAAGAGTTTGCAAAATCGTATTCACTATCAAAAATGATATGTGCTTGCTCCAACCTGAAGACGAAACAGCGATAAACTAAGTTTCGCCACTAATGGCTAATTAATTCACCTTGCATAGATCCAGAGTTATCCAACAGTATTACAACATCCTTCGTGCAAGTTGCTGCCTCAATAAACCACGTTCTTATTCTACAATCAAATAAACCCTTATCTGATATTGTCCAATTCATGGCTAAAATGATTCAGTTATAGATTTACAACGAGGTTTGTTTATACCTGGATAGTGCCGCATAATCCCCGATGAGCTGCCAAAATACTGCCAGGTAAGGGCAGGATCGGCACGGTAATTTTGTATAAAAACTTCGTCCAAAACTGATGACCATTTGATGGCTGTTTCAGCTTCATCGTCTGAAAAAAGAGTTGGCACTGGTATTATGGTCGGTTGCCGAGAAGAACTTACGTCTATGATAAATGTTGGTAGGAACGTGTACAGAACTGTGTGCTGTATTGACAGGAATATTGAAAAAATGAGTGTCGTTATCCAAGTCCATACGCCTGTACATGTCTATATCAGGATCAGAATGATCCTCATCATCATCATTCTGATCATCTTTGATAGGGGGATTTGATCTGTAGTACGTATAATTGCGATCGGTATCATTCAATTCAAATTCAGCTGCTGCCATTTCGGCTTTTTTTAAAATGCACTGCAAAGTATGCTAATGAGAACATTTTTCTTAAATAGCTATATCTATGCCAATACATACAACCACTGCTTTCCTTTTCTTCATCATCATAGCAGAAACATTTTTAACGATATCATTTATAATCTTTTCTGGATCCTTCGTTTCGGGATTTACAAATGCGTAGCTCTGAAGTGAACCAAATGTCACCAATCCATTCATACTATCAGTGTTTTACTTACATTTTCAATGTCAAGTCTTTTAGTTACCACTGTACCCAGATTCCAAAGCTGTTCACCTAACTTATCCGCCCATTGCGATATTCTGAAAAGGGGTTAATACAAACAGGCTGTCGTTATCAATGCGAAACTTACAGATCTCCCTGCGTCATACATTTAGAAACTTGCGGCAAATTGCAGATAACAAATAATAAAGCGGCACTAATAACTGTGTAGTATAGTTTCATTGTAGAGCGTGTTAAGGAACTATTTTCCTGTTACTTGTAAAAATACGACCTTATTTTTAGATCCGTAGAATGGTGCCGAACCTAAGCTTATAAATAGATTTTAGAATAGACGCGTGTTCTAGCAGTCACTTATACTCGTATAAGTTCACCCTCTATATACTTTGAAAAGGTAAAGGTTCGGTTCATGTAAATAATCAGTACAATTATTATTTATTTGATCCTACCAACTGCATTTTTGAACTGGCACTCATCTTGAGCCGAACATAATCTACATCGACGACTTCTTCACCGGGTCTCGTAGGTACTAAACCTCATTGCCAAGATAATATGAGTTTTTCCCATGGTTTCGTGCACAGTTATTTATCTATAGAAACACGAGTCAATGATCAGTTATCAGAAATAATCTTGAATATGTACCTATAACTTCCCGATGAACCTCATTTCATTAAAGGTGAAATTAAACGTGCGTGGAATTTTGAGTTATTACCCTCTAGTTGATGTCTTATAATTCGTGGGGCAGAAACGCATGGGATTAGTACGTCATTAAATATGGCTAATTTAATAGCTCAGCGCCATTTTTGAGGCGGCAATTAATCAAAAAAGATAGGTAGGGATTAATTCAGAGGAGAGTTTTGGGGAGATTTTATCTTTGTTCGTCGTAGAGTTCGGGCATTGAAAAAAATTCGGGCTCGAGTCACAAGAGTCGATAACGGTGTCTTTCGGATACCGAGCGACGCTCCTTTCCCTCCGGTAGAGGTGCTGGCACTGATCCCTGCGCAAGCGGCTGTGCCCAGGTGAGAACGCATTTCCGCACTTCCACAAGCCGGGTCCTAAGAAGGAGTCTGGAAGAAGAGGACAGCTCCGACGCAGTGCCTTAGTCAAGGACCTGGTGGTAGACCACCTATTCGAATAGGACTGGCACACAGAAGACTATGGCCAGAAAGCGGCGGCCAGAAGATATAGCGGGCCCTCCGCCCAGTGTTTTGTGCTTTACCTGGAGCGTTGGCTCAGGGGAGAACCCCAACCAAGCGTGTCAGATCGGAGGAAAGTACTCCAGAGTCTGACTCATCAAGGCAGCCGGAGTTCTTCTGGGCTTCTTGCCCAACGGTTCTGGGGCACCAACGGTTACGGGTGCACTACAAATGTCTGCATTGAGTGCAATTGTTGACCAGATGAATGGGGGGGAAGGGGACTTTACCTCGGCTGGCAGGATTCCGCTGAAATCCGCAAGGTACCCTTTCACTCCTTAGGCGTACGTGGTAGGCATCATCTTCTGATTCCAGGCTTTTCTGGTAAAAGGTCGATTGCCAGGAATCCAGGAGTAAAATTAATGCGAGCAATCGGACTCGACCGTGATCCGTGACTCGTCAAAAGGTGACAAAGGATACTTTATTGCAACGTGTAAGTACTTAGGGTAGCCGGAACCCCAGTCCGCTTAATTAGTGTCGGACTCGGAGGAGGTGTGAGAAACCCTTTTGAAGAAAGTGACTAATTCAAAAAATCTGTTGTCGTTTTAGTCTCGGGGCTCTGCCACACCGTATTAAAAGAAAACCACAACGAAAAAGCTTAAACTGGAGGACTAGTAGTGGTACAGACGAATAAACGGACAAAGTGCTGACAAATAGCGTTCATTTTCCTTTTAGATTTGAGTCGCTGGTTCAGGGGCGCAATCCGACGTCAGGAACCATGCGCCTCAGATAGGAGGGAAGCGCTCCAGGGTCTGACTCAGGGCAGGTTGAGAAGAATCCCAGAGGTTCTGGAGCATCTAATGTTGCTTTCTGTCGCCTGGCAGAGTACCGCTGGAATCCGCAGGGTGCCATATTGTGGTCGAATGCGAGGACCAATGGATCTTGGACTGGCTGGAGATGACCGTTCCTCTTATTAGGCTCTGGCATGGCGCGCCTCTCAAAGTGCAGAGGCACGTCCAGGTAACCAAGGTGATGGTGCGCTCAGAGGCGAAATCCTGATATCAGGACGAGCCTATGTAGGACGTTCTTCCGCAGAGAGGCAGTGAGAGAGTGCGAGTGAGAGAGTGCGAGACCCAGTTCTGTTCCAACAGAGGGGGCTCAAGCCCTCGTCATCAACCTTCAAGGGGTATCGGGATTATTACCGGCGACCTCAGAGGTCGAGAAAAATATCGACCAGCTTTTGGCTCGTGTGGCGGTTCTTGGTGGGAAACAGGGGGGAGGGGAGGGGGCCTAATATATCAGTGATGCACGAAGTAAGTAACTTTCTTAATGGGCTGTCAACCTATTGTTGTAAAGCAGACAGGTGTATGCCTCATACAAGGATCTTAGATTTTTGGTAAAAAAGGAAGGTTATACACTGCCTTTTTTTGAGGTCCGAAAGAAAAATTGTCTCAGATCGACCCGGAAAACAAATTTTCTTATAGAATGTGGTCTGTAGAATCCATAATTTCAAACAGTTCTAAGATTGGGCTGCTAGTTCAAAAGTTACAGCCCTTTGAATTTTCTTTCGAAATTGGTTCCTAGTCTATAACATTTGATTGAGAAGTCTGATCGAAAAAGTACGAATTGTTTTGGATTCTACGCACCAAAATTAATAAGAAAAAGTGTTTTCCCGAGAAATTTTGGTGCAGTCGATTTTTGGTAAAAAAGGAAGGTTATACACTGCCTTTTTTTGAGCCCCGAAAAAAAAATTGTCTCAGATCGACCCGGAAAAAAATTTTCTTATAGAATGTGGCCTGTAAAATCCATAATTTCAAACAGTTCCAAGATTGGGCTACTAGTTCAAAAGTTACAGCCCTTTGAATTTTCTTTCGAATTTGGTTTCTAGTCTATAACTTTTGATTGAGAAGTCTGATCGAAAAAGTACGAATTGTTTTGGATTCTACGCACCAATATTAATAAGAAAAAGTGTTTTCCCGAGAAATTTTGGTGCAGTCGATTTTTGGTAAAAAAGGAAGGTTATACACTGCCTTTTTTTGAGGCCCGAAAAAAAATTGTCTCAGATCGACCCGGAAAACAAATTTTCTTATAGAATGTGGCCTGTAGAATCCATAATTTCAAACAGTTCCAAGATTGGGTACTAGTTCAAAAGTTACAGCCCTTTGAATTTTCTTTCGAAATTGGTTCCTAGTCCTAGTCTATAACTTTTGATTGAGAAGTCTGATCGAAAAAGTACGAATTGTTTTGGATTCTACGCACCAAAATTAATAAGAAAAAGTGTTTTCCCGAGAAATTTTGGTGCAGTCGATTTTTGGTAAAAAAGGAAGGTTATACACTGCCTTTTTTTTTGGCCCAAAAAAAAATTGTCTCAGATCGACCGGAAAAAAATTTTCTTATAGAATGTGGCCTGTAGAATCCATAATTTCAAACAGTTCCAAGATTGGGCTACTAGTTCAAAAGTTACAGCCCTTTGAATTTTCTTTCGAAATTGGTTTCTAGTCTATAACTTTTGATTGAGAAGTCTGATCGAAAAAGTACGAATTGTTTTGGATTCTACGCACCAAAATTAATAAGAAAAAGTGTTTTCCCGAGAAATTTTGGTGCAGTCGATTTTTGGTAAAAAAGGAAGGTTAAGTATTTAAATTGTCTCAGATCGACCCGGAAAACAAATTTTCTTATAGAATGTGGCCTGTAGAATCCATCATTTCAAACAGTTCCAAGATTGGGCTACTAGATCAAAAGTGTTTTCCCGTGAAATTTTGGAGTAGGTAGTCGATTTTGCTAAAAAAGGAAGGTTAAGTATTTAAATACTATGCGAAGTATTCGAATACTTCTCAAAGTATTCAAATATCTTGCGAAGTATTCGAATACTAAATATTTGTGAAAGTATTTGAGTTACAAATACAAATACTGCTTCCATAAAAGTATTTAATTACAAAGTATTTCAATACTTTAAAGGATTTGAATACTAAAAAGTATTTACAAAATCGAATACTGCCCAGCTCTGCTGCCTGGGTAGTTACCGAGGTATCTCTGAGATGGGCAGTCAACACGTTCAGAGTACAGGACCGAGCAGGATATTCCTGGTTTTCCTGCAAAAGGGCCTGGAACCACTGCTCTTACATTTGTTGCACCTTTTAGAGCCTCCCTGGTTTTAGGGTATATCTCCGAAAGCTGGAGAAAGGTAAAAGTTGTGTACCTACCTAAGCCAGGTCGTCCCAAATATGACATGACAAAAGCCCGCATCAGCCTATCATCGTTTCTTACAACGGTGGAGAAGCTGGTGGATGCATACATCAGGAATGAGGTCCAATTAGACCACTACATTTACTCCAAAACCCTTCCAGGACTTCAGGTGTATGTCCACACAGACTCTATGTCACTTTGGTCATGCGAAGCACTTCTGGAACTAGAGCTTTTACACTTAGCTGTGAAGGCAGAGGTTTAGTAGGCTTCCATATTGCTAAACGATTGGGGCGAATGGAAGGATCGAGGCAGCCTTGGAGACGCGTGGATCAGGGAGGAACCCTCAGATCCAATCCCCTCCTCTCAAGAAGGGATGTGCTCCGGACTGTCTTACTAACATCTAAAGAGTTATATAAAGTCACTCTCCCGGACAGGGAGCAGTGGTTGAACTCAGATTGCCTGTTCGTCAAACCTGATGATAGGGGCAAACGGGCTCCTAACGGAAATAGGAACGGGTACGGGTATAAATGATTATCAACCGAAAGCTGACATCATGCTTCTCCCTTGGTAAGCATAGCACTCTGTTTCAGGTGGAGATGTTAGCCATCATGACCTCTGTGCACAGGAGAACATCATATACATCAGTGACAGTCAGGCGGCGCTGAGGGCCCTGTCAGCAGACCGATTTCGGTCAGGCGAACTCTAGATAGATTAAGTGAATCTATCATGGAAGCTTGATCTGGGTGTCAGCGACCTATCGAATGGGGGCAACGAAAGGGCGGATGAGCTGGCTCGCGAAGGTAAAGGTGGGGTCTTCGTTGGGGCGGAGCTTACTCTAGGAAATCCTCCTTCTCTTACCAGGACAAGGATTAAAGACTGCTAGGTGACGGGTCAATTCCAGGCTCAGTGACAAGAAGCAACCTGCACTAAGACAGTTCTTAACAAGGCCCCTTGGCAAATCTGGGTCTTCTAATA